CAGCTGGCCATCACAGGTAAGCAACTGCACAGGTGGGGGAGGACGAGGCTGGGTGCAAAATCCCTATGGCTCCCCACTTTCAATTATTTTACCAATAGAAATGTGATACTAGCAGTCCAAAGGTATCAGAAAATTTGGGAGTAATTTCTGTAGGGACATAAAACCCATTTTTGAATATTTCCTCTAGCGAATTTAACACATATGAATGTCCATTAGATTTCATTATAAAAACAACTCACTTCTACACCACAGACTTGGAAATACCATTATCAGTGCCATCACAGGGTTCTACGGGGTTTCGCTCTTCCTATACACAGCAGCCTTCATAGTTAACTGTGGCGATATTACCATTATCATCCCATATTATGAGATTAAGGATTACATCCTTGAAAATGGACCAGAACTATCTCTATTCAATAATAAGTTGAATTCTCAAGTACTGTGCAGGTTAAAGCCTGTGGACATTGTTTTTGAAATGCAAACGATGTGTGACATCACTGCTGGAGGTGGTATAAGGAAACAGATAATGGCCAAGATCGGGATGCTTAAATGTGGGCTTTGGGAATGGCTGACTCAGGAGAAGTGTGAGCACAGCACACCTAGGGAAAGAATGGTGAAATATTCTCAAGGAAGAAAATGATCTGTGAAAGAAAGACCCCTACAGGGACAGGTAGAGGCCGAACTGGTAGAGTTCATGTTCAAAAAACAAAGGAAAACCACAACCAGGGAAACCGGGGAGAGAGCAGGCAAACGGGATTCATGGAGGGTCCGGCCTAGGCCAGGCTGGGAGTGCTGAGCTCTGGGAGCAAGACAGCTGTCACATTAGTTTAATTTGGATCAGACTATAGGGAAAATGCTAAAATAAAATAAAGTGTTAAGCGTCAATAAGGAGCGATGATAGATGACTATACTTTTTTGAAGTTGTTACAACAAGTAAACGGAAAGGACATTCTTGGGGGGGAGGGGAGAGAGGGAGGAGGGCGGGAGGTGTCGGTGATGGGCCATAATAATCATATACATTGTATATTGACAAAATAAAAATTAAAAATAAAAAAAAATAAAATAAAAATAAAATAAAATAAAATAGAGACACAAAACAGAAAGAGCCAGTCACAAAAGACCACATACTGTATGATTCAGTTTATGAACTGAAATACAATGCTATAGTAATATAAAGTAGACTGGCGGTTGCTGCTGGGGATGTGGGCTTTCACTTCATAAACAGACATAATAAAGAGTGTTCTTTTCCCTTCTAAACTAAGAGGGAATGAATGATGACATAAGGAAGTGAGAAAGGCAGCCTGATCTGTTTCTTTCAGGACAAAAGGATTGTAGGAAGCTGGCTAGGCTAGACCAGCATCTCAGAACCTCAGCATTATTGACACTTTGGGCCACAGAATTCTTTGTTTTGGGGCTGACCTGTACATTATAAGGTGTTTAGCAATGTCGGTTGTCTCTACCCACTAGATACCAGTAACAACGCCACCACCTCCCATGGTGACAAACAAAAATAACCCCCTGCTGGAAACCACTGGACTACAGAACTGGATTTAAAGGCTTAACCTTGCAATGTGACAGATCCCTGTTTGTCTGAATTTTAATTATGTGGTTTAAGGCAGGGCAGGCGGTGGAGGAACTTGGCACCCTTTCAAAAAAGAAAATGTAGGGCCGGCCCGTGGCTCACTCGGGAGAGTGCGGTGCTGATAACACCCAGGCCCTGGGTTCAGATCCCATATAGGGATGGCCAGTTCGCTCACTGGGTGAGCGTGGTGCTGACAACACCAAGTCAAGGGTTAAGATCCCCTTACCGGTCATCTTTAAAAAAATAATAATAATTAATAAAAATAAAATATACCCATTTGATATCATGTAGTAAAGGAGGAAGTCAGGGCAGTTCCACATAGAATTGCCAGAAATAAAAATAAAATGTACCCATTTGATATCATGTAGTAAAGGAGGAAGTCAGGGCAGTTCCACATAGAATTGCCAGAATTGTCTTTGGCACCATTTTGGTATGATTCCTGCCATTCTTATGGCACCATAACTGCTTCTCTGGATTTAATAAAGTGTTTTGGCATTTTTTTTTAAACTGCACGAGCCTGCGTGTCCTACCCCATAACATATGTTAGCTTAGTATATAGCTGTATGATTCCAAACAGGCCAGGGTATGCTGGATAAAAACAGCCCACAAAGTTTAGTGGCTCATTACAGCAGCTTTATTTCTCTGTCATGCCATGTGCTCATCATGGTTGGTCTGGGGTTGTGCTGCACGGCTCTTCATTCTGGTGTGCAGGCTGATGGAGGAGCTACCAGCGTGAACAATGACAGTGTGGTAGAGGGAAATGTGTTCACAGGAGTCTTGATCTTGCAATTACGTGCTTCAGCCCAGAGGTTACATATGGCCAGAACTAGTCCCATGACCCCACCCAACCACAAGGGGGCCAGGAAATGCAATCACACCACGTGCCTGGAAGAGAGCCAGAAATGCTTAATGAATAGCATTGGATACCTTCAAAGAACTCTTCCATACTGCCTTCCTCAGTCTTGTAGTCATATATCCATACACATGTGTACACCTATGTGAGGAACATTATCATCATTTCACAAAATGGTCATATTTAGGTCGGAGGAGAGAGTCTGGGAGGCCTAATAGCAGGCCTCAACCCACCCCACCCTCTTACCAGGTTCTTGACTCTGCCACAGGAAAGAATTCAAGAGCAGAGTCACAGTGGAAGATGAAAACAGGTTTAATGTAACAGATAAGAAATGCAGATTTCCCAGAGAAAGTACGGCCTAGCTCCAGACACTGGAGCAAGTTTAATACAAAAGCAAGAAATACACACTTAAAGTTTAGTACAGCATGCAGGCTAGCTCAAGAGAGTGAGCAGCTGCTTGTTGAAAGTAAGCTTGATAGGGGCCGGCCTGGTGGCGCACTGCTACGGTGCACTGGCTGCTTGGGAAGCGCAGCGGCGCTCCCGCTGAGGGTTCGGATCCCACGTACAGACCAGCCGCTCACTGGCTGAGCGAGATGCGGGAACAACACCGAGGGTTGCGATCCCGTTGCCGGTCCCGGTCCGGTACGGGCGCGAC